TGCACAGACTCGGTCATGGACGTGAGGACCAGTGATAGAAGCAGACACAGAGAAAAGAAGAAGTTAGAATTTATTCCAGAAGCCAATGGCTGCAGCATCTCTCTTCCAGGGAGGATCGTGGACGTGATGTACAAGGCTATGGCAATGTTGGCTGGACAAGATGTGATGTCAACTTGCTCAGAGGCAAGAGAGCATGCAGTGGCAAGACGTAATATCATCTAGTGTGAAAAAGCTGAGAATGTAACCTGTGATTAAAACAGGGGGCAGGAAAAAGAATTCAGGTTCATTAAAAGTGACCTTGTGAAATAAATTATGGCCGATGGAGACACTGATAGAAGAGGCGTCTTGCCATCTGGCTCGATAGGAGAAATCGCTTTCCTTGGGACATTTCCCTGGTGACTGGGGCGTGTGGCCTTCTGTTTCAGAGGTGGCAGCAATTATGTCATTCCCTTTGCAACTGCCGGTTGAAAGAGTTCCTGGAGTTTCATAGGGAGTTTGGAATCCTCTGAAAATCCACAAAGTAGGGGATGTTGGTAGCGTCTGTTGACTTCCCACTATGTGGAATTTCCTTCTTATGTTGGCACCTCCCTATATGAGCTGATTTTGACAACTGGGCTCACACTGCACAAACCAAACAAATCAGAGGGTCGCATGTCTTCACCTCTGAAACCTAGGGCTGCACTAAAATGCTCAGCAAATCCAATATTCCCACCTGGCACTTTAGGTGATTCAAAGCACCAAGGATGAAGGGACATTCTTTCCCAGGGCAATGCAGGTTGTCATCCAAAGCAACACCCGATTCAGAGACACTGGTGGCCATGGTGAGTGTCCAGGACTGCAGAAGTATCCACATCACACAGTGTCCATGGTGAGTGTCCAGGACTGCAGAAGTATCCACAACATGAGTTGTGGTTCTGGCTGTGATCACGCTGTTGTACACTCTCATTCTTACAATGTCCCTGAGCCTGAATCTTCGTAATTCCCCGAGCCACGTTTCCCAGACTGGGTTCTCAAGGGGAACGGAAGCTGAGACAGAGTTAGGACCACAAATTTCATTGCAAAGCAACACCTGTGAGAGTAAAAGAGAGGAAGCAGGATCGGGCACAGGAAACCATCACCATGTGGGACTGAGGACATCTTCTCTAGCCTAATAGGGAGCTCTGGAGCAAGGATTTTCCATTAGAGGGGTTCTCCCTTGGGTATAAAAGGAAAGACCCTAGTACTACAACCTTACTCTGTCCCTGGCTAGAGGCCCTCTGGGTAGAGTGTGATCTCAGCTCATACACCTAAGTCGTGCCTGAGAAGTGTTTGTTGTCAGTGGTCAGATAGCCACCATCCTTGCAGCTGAGCAGCGGGTTGCTTCTGGAAGTGGGGTCAGAGTGGCACATCTTTCAGTCAGACACGGGGCACCCCTTGTGCTGTGGGGATCCTCTCCATGCACATTTGTGAATAGGTCCTCCAGGGCTCCGGTGGGCATCCTTTCTGCAGGAAACCATAGAGGATGGAGGTAACTGGGGCAAACTACAGCCCCAGCCCATGCAAATGGTGTCGGGGCTGCGGCTACTCCTCGTCACCCTCCTCATCTCTCCATTCTAAAGTCTCCTTGCCCTCAACTACCATCGAGGCCACTCTCAGTGTCTTACCTGGTGGTGTGACCCAAATCCTCGTTCCTGAGGGGAAAAAGATATTCAATGCATGTCGTAATCATAAGAAAGTTGATGCAGCTGTACGAATAGCAGACAAAATAGGCTGTAATTCAAAAACGGAAGCGGAAAAGCAATAAGACAGAAGGAGCCTGGGCCTCTGAGAAGTCTTGTTTTGGTGGAGACCCCTGGCTAGCCATAGACTGTCCGCACTAGATGGCTTCCTGAGAAGCAGTCTTCTATTTTTGTAAATGTGAACCTATAATCTGAATCCAGTTTTTTTTTAATAATCCAAGCTTTAGTCATTGATTTAAATATGACATCGATCTAAACTAAATTATATACAATAAAGCTTTCCTCTGGATTTTCTGTGCTTTTGATTGATTTCTCTGTCTGATTCTTTATTCTTCTAATAATATCATCATGTTATGTGTTACTACTACTTAGTTTTAAAGCTAGGAGATTCAAGTGCCCTAAATTAATCTTTTTTTTAATATTCAAATTTTTATGGACATTCATAAGAATTTTTCCTTCCATACAAACTTAAGTATGATTTTTAAGTTTCTTGAATCACCACCACTACCAGGCCAAAAAAAACAAAAAAGCAAAGAACAAAACAATAAAACAACTAGATTTTCAAATATGTCATTCTTAAAGGGTAAATTGCGCAACAAAAAAACTCCCAAAGTATCTAAATGGAAAATGGGAAGAGGACTTGAATTGACAGTTTTCCCAAAGAAGACATACGAATGGCCAACACGTACACGTAAAGGTGTTCAACATCACTAATCATCAGGGAAATGCAAATTGAAACCACAATGAGATTTCACCTCCTACCTGTTAGAATGCTATTATCAAAAAAAATCAATAGATGATAAACACTGGCGAGGATGAGAAGGACGAGAAGAGGGATCATTGGTGCATTTTGGTGGAAATGTAAATTGGTACAGCTACTATGAAAACAGTATGGAGTTTCCTCAAAAATTAAAGATAGAACTATCATATGATGAAGCAATTCATTTCTGGTATATATATCTCGAGGAAATGAAATCACAATCTCAAAAAGGTATCTGCACTTCCAAGTTTATTTCAGCATCATTCACAGTAGCCAAGACATGCAAACAACCTAAGTGTTCGTTGACAGATGAATGGATGAAGAAAACTTGGTACATGTATACAATGGATTATTATTCAGCCATAAGAAGAAGGAAATCTTGCAATTTCTGACAACATGGGAGGACCTTGAGGGCATTATGCTAAATGAAGTCAGTCAGACAGAGAAAGACAAACACTGTATGAAATCGCTTATTTGGAATCTGAAAACGCAAACTCAAAGAAATAGAGAGTAGAATGGTAGTAGCCAGAAGCTGAGGGGAGGAGGAAATGAAGGGATATTACCGCTGATAATGAGAGCCTTTCGAAGGTCTAATGTAGAACATGGTGAATATAGTTAACAATTCTGGATTGTATTCTTATAAGCTGATAACGAGAGTAGAGCTTTAATGTTCTCACCTAACAACAATAACAAAGTGCTAATTATGTGAGGTGAAGGGTTTGTTAACTACTCTGATGGTGGCGAACGTTTCGCAATATATACCGGTATCAAATCATCACACCGTACACCTTAAATCACACCATGTTATGTGTCAATTTTATTGCAATAAAGCTGGAAAATAACAAGAGTAAATTGAAGAGGTAAATATCGATATCTTCACCTTGCTGAGTCTCCTCATTCAGGAACATAGTGAGAATTTATTTAAGACTTTTTTATGCACCTCATAAACAATTGTATAGGTTTCTTTTTAAAAGTCTGCCTGCCTCTTATTGAGTTTATTAGTAGAAATGATATAATTTTGTTGATCTTATAAGTAAGTGGGACTTTCTTGCTGGTCCATATTCTGATTATTGCTAGTTTATAATTAAAATAGGATTTATCATCATTTACCAGCTATGTGATTTGGGGTGGCTACTGAACCTCTCACGGGTTCAATCTTTTAACAAAATTAAAGACACGTGTATAATTCCCATCTGAGAGAGTTCTTGTGAGAAATAAATAAGACTATACATATAACATACTTAGTATAGGACCTGGGACAGAGAAAACTAAATGCATAAGGTACTCTTACTACCGACAGTGTGATGTATTTGTCAGGTCGGAAGTTTAGGCACTGCTCTCACATGTAGGCCAATATACCCTACTATCAAACCTCTAGCCCAGTCCAGCCAATACCCTGGAGAATGAATGGGAAGCCCTGGGTCGTATGCTCCTGGAGCAAAGAGACACAGTGCTCCCTGGGCTCTCACCCCAATCCTCTGCCCCCGACTTCCATTCCCAGCAGGAGCCCAACACAAAAGGAAGAGCTATTCAGGGCCAGAATGTCAAGACCAGACTGTCTTTCCAGAATAATTATATCCAACCCCCCAAATTGAACTGAAAACTGAGGTTCAGCGAGGGAGAGAGATTTGTCAGAGGTTATCTAAGAGGTTGGGAGGCAAAGCTGGGACTAGAGTTCAGGTCCACTGACTCCCACACCTGTGCTCTTCCACTCCATCCAAAATGCTCCTCCTCCTGTGGCTTTGACCTTTCCAAAGAACTCCCTTGTCCAAAGGCAGTGGGCAGGTGGACCAACAGCAGAGCCACGAAGGCATTCGAGTTTGCCAAGCGCATACTCTCCACTCTCTTCCCTATTCAAGTCTGCCCGGCCTCCAACTTTACGTCTCCAGAGAACACTAATCGCCGCTCACGCTCAAGGATCAAGGACTTGGTGTGTCTTGCCTCCTCATTCACATCTTAAAATAGAAAGTTGGGAGAGGCTATTGCTTAACCAGGGAATTAAGTGTTAATGGAGGCATTTCAGGCACGAAGAAGTGAAATGCTTCACGAGCAGAGATTTCCCAGCATCTGTCTTTCTATGTCTTCTAGGGAGGAAAGAGGTCCCTGGGAAACATAAATGGGAAGGAAATGAGGAGCTATAGGTTTAGCCACAAGGGTTGGTTGGTTACACTGGCAGAGCTGACAATAGCCAGGTCAGGACTGCGGGTGGATTGGAAAAGAGAAAAACTACTTGCAGTTTATGCAACGCTTTGGTTTTTATTTCCCTGCTCCTACACCAGGGGCGAAATTTCCAGATTTCTATCTCCTGCTGATACGGAGACTAGTTTTGGGGTTGATTATTGGATCTCTAATATTAAGCCCTAGGAATGGGCCTCTTGCTCCTGCCCCTAGCTCGCTTTCACACACCAGGGACGGCTCCCAGGGGACCCTCTCACCCCCGCTCCCACTGGGGAGAGGGAGTCCCAACTCTGCATCCACCTCGCCAGAGCTTCCAGGAGAACAGAAGGCAAAGGAATCAAACGTATGGAACAGAAAGCAGTCTTTTATTGGAAAATCGATGTGGGAAGCAGCCTCAGGGTTGGGCATCCTCATCGAGAGGAAGAATGAGCAGTGTGGGAAGGGGTGGTGCTGCGGGGACCAGGGACAGAAGTCCCCTCGGCCTTCACGAGTACAGCAAAGACAGGATTTACCTAGGAGGAGAGAGGAGAACCAGAGACATGATTCAGCAGGTCAAAGCGCTCAGAGACAGTGGAAGTAGGATCAAGTCCACATGTCATCCCTCTCAGGACCCCAGTTACAGCCTCTGAGACCCCCCCCAGGCCCCCCCAACCAACTCCCCATATCTTCTCTCCCATCGACTTGGGATCATTCCCCACCGCTTAGCCTCAAGTGTCACCTCTTATTCCATTCAGTTCTTACCTTACTGGGGATTCATACAGGCTTTTCCACAAGAGCCCACACAGCACTTCTTGGCTCCTGGGCACTGAACATCGTTCAGACAGGCATCAGGAGGATTCAACATGGCACACCTTATCAGAGTCACGGGGCAGGAGCCAGGCTTACTTTTAATTATGACTGGACCGTGCCCGCCTGGAAATTTTTTTTTGCTTAGATATTGATCTCCAACCGGTCCTTGTCCTTTGACCAGAACGTGACCTTTGTCAGCTTCTTGACCTTTATAAGGAACTGCTGAAAAAAGAAATGGGTGCACATTTAGACCTAGTGTCCCTACGTCAACTATCTTGTCTTTCCTCTAGGTCCAGCCACTGCTCACTGCAGTGTCCCCCAAACTATGACCTGAGATGGGGGAGGGTCACCAAGGCTAGACGGTGCTCTCAGAATGGTGTTCCCTGGGCTTTGGGAAAGGGGTCTACAGGACCATGTTGCCTCAGGTGTCCATTTCTTCGTCTCCCTCCATTCCGAGTCCTGGTGTTCTCACGAGGGAATGCCAGACTAGAGTGACTCCCAGAGGTGAGAAAGACACACTGTCATGTCTGAGGAAACTTAGTGGAGGGGAAGAGACATTTGCCAGGAGACCTGGGCAGCTCCCAGCTCTGCAGATTGCTTTGACAATTCCTGACTCCTCTCTAGGTCTCAATGTCCTACTTGGAAGAATGGCGGTCTTCAAACGACATGATTTTTGAGGCCCTGTTGGTTCTCAACCTCCTCTTAGAGGACTGATACTTAGGTGTTTTTACAGGGCAGACAGGTAGGGGACAGATGCCATGATGAGCCCAGATTCTCTCATTGCATATTCTGCAGAGGTATCAATACCTGAGGCCAAGGTCACATAAAAACACTTGTTCCACAAACCGTCCTGATATCTCAGTTCTGGGGTGGAAAGCACATGGAGTCCACTGGGCAACTTTCTACTTTTTCTGGATACCATGGAAGTGATCACAGGCTGAAGTGTAGGCCCAAGCTCTGCCTGCTGCTCCAGAAGTGCTCCGTACAGGACCCACTTTGCCCCGACAGCCCTCCCCTGAAACCAACCCAGCCCCAGCTAGGCCACTTGTCCACTCACCTCCTATGACAGCTGCCTGTGCTGCCAGCATCCCAAGGATGAGAAAAACCGCCAGGGCCAAGAAGCTGCTGGACCTCATGTTGTCAGGAGAGCGTATGGCTAAGAGCAGAGGCCAAGCCCTGTTTTATGCAGCCTTAGTCTGGCCTGGCGCCAGGGGTGGGTCTGTGGTTTTACAAGGACAAGACCTACATTTTTGTAGTTCTACCAGGAAATATCCACCCCTATCCTGGGAGGGACCTTGGGGCTTTCCCTAAAGATTATTCACAGAGAGAAATGGCAGATACTGTGTTACATCACCTCTGACGGTGCCAAGAACTATGCTGCTTTCTCACGGAGGTTGCCATCACCACAATTTTTTATATATATATATTTAGAAAGAATATGAAGCCCAAAGAAGAGATAGAAATCACTCAAGGTCATTCAGCAAGTCGATGGTAGGCCCTATGTTCTGATTTCAAAATTGATTAATCCCTGTCCCAACAAGCCCCACCCAGACCTACCTTAAGAGTTTACCCCTCCCAGCATCAAGCTGGGCTTTCCTTTCATTCTCCCCTGGCCCTGAGAAAAACTCTCAAAGTCAAATTTGCCTTGAAAGTCTCATAGCTCACCACTACACTTTGCCATTTCACACAGGTAGTCTCTGAGGTGCACCAAGAAGGTAATAGGAATGGTGGAATTCTCGGTCTGGAAGGGGATGTTGCCCTTGACACCAAGAAGAGAGAAAACACCTAGAAAAGTAAAAGGAAGAAAATAGAAATCATCTATAAGGTGGACATTTACCGTGCACACACCCAGCATGTCATCCTCCTTCCTAGAACAGCGGGTTCAAAGGTTCCTTTGAACCCTCGTTTCTTTGTACTATCAACTTAAGAGTCTAATGGGGACTGCTAATCACGAAGTAGGGGTGCGTGTGTGAGGTGGGTGCTCGGGCGAGGTCTGCTGAAGTCCTTTATTTGAGTGGACACTTAGGAGAAGAGGAAAGTTCCTCCTTTTGGTAAAGATACTAGATATGAGCCTGGGGACTTCAGAAGCTATGGTTCCAGTCTGGGATGAGTTCAACAGTATGAGAAAAATGAACCTAATTACAACACGAAGAGAAGCAGAGAAGAGACGGCGAGAGAGGATGGATAATAATCTGCCCATCTTTCCCCTTTCCTTGACAGCATCCTTTCCCACACCTTTCCCAAAGTTGGGTTATGACCCAATAAATTAAGCTTCCTGACTAAGCTAGTCTGAGTTGGTATTTTGTCATTGCTACCAAAGTTGGTAGTAATAGAAATTAGTACCCAGAAGTTGGGTGTTGCCAGGGACAGAACCTGAAGCGTGGAAGTGACTGAGCTGAATTCAAGTGAGACAGGGAAGAAAGTAGACTAATTACTGGATAGTAAACCAGTTGACTAACTCCCCATCCTTTGTCTCTTTAGACTCAGACCACATGCCCACGAGTGCTGAAACATCAAGGAGCTATAAGCAAAGGTCAGAATGTTGGCGTCTGTTGGCTACTCTAGGGAAAAAAAAAAAAAGCTCATTGCAAAATAAATCGTACAAACAAAAAAGTGTAGAACACACTAGATTCTTTAAAGAATAGCATTAAAATGGGCAGTGTGTACTCACCTGCCAGGTAAAGAAGGAAACTATTTCCTGTATGTGTACCCTTTTGTCCTACCTCCCCAATTGCTTCCCTTCCCTGATGCCCCAGAGGTAACCACTTATGTGGATTTTCTTTTAATTAGCCTATTCAAGTACCTTGCCCATTTTCATGAGTTGTCTATCTTTTTTTCCCTATTGATTTGTAGAGAAATGAAACTCTCATGTATTACTAGTGAGAGTCTGTATTGGTATAACCAATTTGAAAATCAGTTTGGCGTCAGCTATTAAAATTAAACACATGCAAAACCTATGGTCCAGCAATCACACTCCTAAGTATGTACCCAAGATAAATATTTCCACATGTTTACCAGGAGGCATGCACATGAATGTCCACAAAAGTACTGTTGCTAATAACAAAATACTGGAAACAGCCCATATTACCAACAAAAAAATAATGGATAAAAATGTTATAATATACTAATACAATGAAATATTATATAGCAAAAATAACATAAGTATGTCCATTTAATATTTATATGTAAATATAGTTCTGAATATAAATATAGTCACAATGTGACCAGTTAAAATAATGTCAAATGAAAAATGCAAGTCCCTCCCCGCCAAATTTTTAGAATTATATGCGTGTTACAAGGCTCAAAACTAAGGAAAACTAAGTAATAGATTCTTTAGGAATACTTACATATGTAGTAAAACTCAAAAAGGGGTAAATAAAAATGAGGAAATTATAAACATAAAATCAGGATAGCGATTAACTCTGGAAGCGAGGGAAGAAACATTTTGTCTTATTTTGTCCCTATGTATGCTGAACGTTCATTTCTATCTTGCTATAGCAAATCTCTTCTTATTTTAAGCTTATAAGTCCCCGTTCACAGTAAGGGTTACACTCCCCTGCTTTTATCAGCCTGCTAGTCACCTTACTCCTAATTGTGCTGAGAAGTCCAACGATAATCTAATGGGTTTTCCTTTACAGGTTACCGTCTTCTTTTCCTTGGCTGTCCTGAGAATTCTGTCTTTGTCATTGATTTTTGATAATTTTAATATGATGTGTCTTGGTGAAGGCCTTTTTGGGTTGAGATAATTGGATGTTCTATTGACTTCTTGAATTCCAGGTTCCAGCTCATTTCTTAGATTTGGGAAATTCTTGTCAACTATTTGTCTGAAAATGCTTTCTAATCCCTGCTCCTTTTCCTCCCCTTCGAGAATTCCTATTATTCTTATGTTTCCTCTCCTGATATTATCAGCTAGTTCTTGTATTTATCTTTCATTATTTTTCATTCTTTGGTTTCTCTCTTCTTTCTGATTTATTTCTAGATTTCTGTCTTCGATATCACTGATCCTTTTCTCCATTTGGTCAACTCTATTTCCCAAGCTTGTTATTTCATTTTTCAACTCTTGTAGTGTGTTATCTCCAGAAGGTCTATTCGGTTCTTTTGGAGGGTTTCGATCTACTTGCTGAAGAACTCATTCTGATCATCTAGTTGTTTTTTCAATTCCTGAAATTATTGATATGATTCATTTTGGATCTCACTGAGTTTTTTCAAAAGTACTTTCCTGAATTCTCTGTCATTTAAGTTGCATATTTCTATGTCTGTAAGCTTTTTTTCCGGAGATTTTTTTCTTTCTTTCTGAGATGCCTTGTAACCTTGGTTGTCCATGATGTTTAATGGACTATTTCTCTGCCTGGGCATTAATGGAAGTGTGTTCTGCTTTTTCCTTTTTCCAGAAAGAAGATTTATATCCCTATTTATTTATTATGTCCCTGGCCTGTTGCAAATAAGGTGTTTTTCTTTTGGTTTCCAGTAGGTGGCGTCTAAGCCTCTTGGATCTCTGCTTTATATAAAGTGTTAATAATGTCTTTTTTTCCCATATAGATGTTTAATCATGCTCGCTACCCTCAGTGTACACCTTAAATATAATGAAAATCAAAGCCTGGTGGGTTTTTGTGACCCCTAATGAAATAATTGATTCAGGCAATGATTATCCATGGCTTCAAAAGTCATTAGATAAAGTTTGACTGGGACTGGATAGTTACAGGGTGTCAACTCATCACCTCACAGTTTATTTGTTGTTTGTAAATAGGAAAGCACAACTTTACAATGGAGGTGTCAGGGGATATGATCTGAAACATTTTCATCTTCACCACACTAAAAGTGAGTCGGCAAGACCTGTGAAGTGTTCATGCCAAAACAGTTGAACTTGAACCTCATCAGGCCCCTGGAGCTAACATTCATCTATGGGAACTGTGAAGGATAGAGAAATAAGTTGAAAGATATAGCAGGGAAGTAATATGGGATGTTCTAAAGAACAGTTCATCTGTGTTTTTTCAATAAATAAATAGCATGAAGAAGGTGGATGAGGAAGGGAAGGAAGAGAATTTGGAGTTGGAGGGAATGTTCTAGAAACTTATGAGACATTACAACCAATGCACTGGGTGTACCTTGTTTAGATTCAGACTTGAACAAACCAAATGCACAAAGTCATTTTTGAGACAATAAGAAAAATAGAATACAAGTAGAATATTAGATGATATTAAGATATTACTGCTAATTTTGTTAGATATGACAACAGTATGGTGACTACGTGAGAAAATGTCCTTATTTTTTTGAGATGCGTACTAAAGTATTTAAGAGTAAAATGTGAGATGCATTGGATTTACTTTAAAATACTTCAGCCAAAAAGAGGTGAGAATATACATTTTATAAAATATTAATTGTTGAGACTTTTGGTTATAAGATGAATAAGTTAAGGGGATCTAATTTACAGCATGGTGACTGTCACCATCAACACTGTATTGTACATTTGAAAGTTGCTCAAATGTTCTTGCTATAATGACAACAACACAATGGTAATTGTGTGAGGTTGAGGAAGTATTACCTAACTTTTTGTGGTAAGCATTTTACAATACATTTGTGTATCAAATCATCACGTTGCACACTTTAAACTTACACAATGTTACATGTCAATTACATCTCAATAAATCTGGGGAAAATATTAATTGCTGAATCTGAGTGATAGGTGTAAGGGTTTCATAAAAGTACTTACTGTTCTTTAGTGTATTTTTGAAAATTTTTGTGATAATTTTTTACAAAAAAAATTTATTTGGGGGACTTAAAAATGATTATTAGGTTATTATGGAAAAATGAAATGCTTGTGACATGGATGATTGAAAATATAGATTAATGAAGGATAATGAAATACCACCAGTCGCTAAATACTAAAAATACTAAAAATACTTCAAAATACTAAAACGTATTTTGAAGCTGCAATAGTTACAAAAGCAGTATTGGCATGAGAATAAACAAAGGAAAAGAACAGACAACCCAGAATCAGCCTCCATTTACATATTAAGACAAGTTTTTGATGAAGTTCTGGTTCCCAATCAATTGCAAAAGCTTGTAATTATTCACTAAATGATGCTAGGATAATCGCTCAATAACTTAGAAAAAAAGGATTTTCCTATCTCATACTGATGCCCAAATAAATTTCAGATAGATTAAAGAATTAACGTGTTTTTCAAAAAAATTACTAAAGAATTATAAGTAAATGTAGTAAATAATTATTTGACATCAGAATAAAAAAGACTTTCTTCAGCATAAAAACAAAGGGAGAATATACAAATGAAAAGACCAATTTGACTACTCCCAAATTGAAAACTTTGGTACAAAGTAAAAACAAGGAAACAAATAGAATAGGATTAAAATAAGCATTTATCAAGCTCACCTCATTCAATTCTCAGAAGCACCCTATAAAATAAATATTATTATCTCTATTTTATAGAAGAGTAAACTGAGGTTCAACAAAGTTAAGTAACTTGTCTAAAGTCACACAACTAGAACCTGGGGGCACTAGGATTCAAAAACCAGGTCTGCCTGACTCCAGTTTACATCTGCTAACCACTTTATCATACTGCTTCTTGTGTATGTAAACAACTCTTACAACTCGATAATAAAAATAAAAGTATCTCAGTAAAAATGGGCAAAATACAAAACCAGGCAATTCACAAAAGAAGAAATTCAATTGGTCAGTATAAGCATGTCTCACCTGTGATAGGGGAAGTCCCTGATAAGTGGCAGCCAACCAGAATTACAGGAGGTGGGGCTCAAAGACACCACCAAAGGAAGGGATGTTGGTCAGACAAAAACAGGAGACACCCATCTCCTGCAGAGCAAGCAGGTGGAGGTTCTCACACACTCTTACTTCCTTTCCGAAATGCAGTTTCAGGGTGTTCAAAGCCTGAAAAACTTTGCTGCCCTTTGACCTAGCATTTCGGTTTTATTTGTCTCTAGGTTTCATTTCTTTTTTTATCGAGGTATAACTGACATAGAACATTATATTAGTTTCAGGTGTACAACATTATGATTCGATATTTACATATATTGAGAAATGATCGTCACAGTAAGTCTAGTTAACTTTCCTCACCATACATAGTTACAAATTATTTTTCTTGAGATGAGAACTTTTAAGATTTACTCTTATTAACTTTCAAATATGTGATATACTATTAACTATAGTTACCATGCTGTGAATACATCCTCAGGGCTGACTGACTGATTTATTTGTTTGTTTGTTTGTTTCTTTGTTTACTTAGTAAATGAAAGTTCATACCTTTTGACTGACCTAGCATTTCTAATTTGACAAATCTACCCCAAGAAAATAGAGATGTGGCTCAAAACATATGTACAGAGATTGTTGTCATAGCTTTACATATGAGAGTGAAAAAAAACCCTATATATTGCACAATAGGGAACTGAATATACATATTTTGGCATATAAATCTGATGAAATACCATGTTATATTACAAATGATGATATCGAGGGACACTTCATCACCCAGGAAAATGTCTAGGACATAATCCTAATTGAAAAAGTATTTCTTTAATATACACACGTAGTTCGTAATCAGGAAAAAAATAGCTTCATAAAATTCTCCTTCTAAAGAAAGCTGCCAAGGGAATGCTAGAATTCCAAAAGTAACATTGGATCATAGAATATAGGGCCCCTCTTTCCTGAGAGTTTGGAAGACAGCATGAGGGAGTCAAGTTAAACCCAAAGAGGAACTTCCTGACTGTGAGGGTTGGCCTGGACTGGAATATCCTCTTCCTTTCTCGGTCGGATGGGGTAATGCCTTGCTTCTGAGGCTCAGGAACCAGCTGGGGACTGTGGGGAGGCAATGACGAGAGTCCCAGTTTAGCTGGAAATTAACTGTGTGTCCTTGGCCTACAGTAGTCTCATCTTTCAAATAGGAAAGTGGGGTCCTGGTGAGGGACTGTGGCTCATGGGGTTTCTGTTTGGGGCCCTTTAGAACCCTGAGGACCAGCTGCCTCTCTTCCACCAAATACTGGAGGTAAATGATGTGAAATCTAATGGTGGCTCCTTGATTGAGATGGTTTTTTAACTCAGGATCCTTTAGGGCCAGGGAAGGGGTCCCAGAAGCCACCTACATCTGTTGCAACCAGTGACTTAAGCCAAACCCAAATCTGTGCTTCATCTACCCCGACAGCTAAGCCAGACCCAGCCAGAAGGCTGTTCTACCAGATGCCACTGGAGGTGATCTCGTCAATAGCAGGCTGGTCTCTCTCTCCCTTCCATGGGGGCCCAAGAGGAGAGGCCAGGGCTGGCCTCACTCACGGTGCCAGCCTGGGCCAGTGTTCTCCAGCAGGGAGCTCTGACCCTAACCCTAATGCTTCCTAGGCACCCAGAACTCTGCAAATTTTTGCCATTCAAAGCTGACTCTATCCCCTGCCTAAGCCACTGCTGGGGCTTCAAGATCGTAGAAAGACAGGAAAGGGAGTATCTGGCTCAATGACCTTCATCCATTGTAGAGATGAGAAGAACTGAGGCCCAAAGAGGGACAAGACTCGTCCGAGATCACGGCCCAAGTCAGCAATACAGGCAGGACTGGTTCCCAGCCCCCAACACCAGGTCCTGCCTCCACCCATCATCGATTCTTACACACGTGCCCTTGAATTGAGGCTCTCAGGCAGGAGGTGGGGCCAGAATGAGGCAGACAGGTGCCGCTCCATCCACCCCTTCTCCTTCCTTCCCTTACTCAGCTGCTCTAGCCTCCCTAGGGCTGCAGGTGTTAATTGAGGAGCCCCTGGACCCTGACCTTCTTAGGTGCCAGCAGCAGAAACATGAGGGCCCAGAGCCTCCTCCTCCTGGTGGCCCTCCTGGCTTTGGGGAACCAGCTGCCTACTGCCTCTGGCAGGAAGAAGGGAGGTGAGTGTGGGTAGGTTCCTCTGTTCCAGGGACTAGGTGGTTTCTACCTCTCTGGGGATCGTAAGGATCTGGGGGAGGCAGGCAATGCAGTGTATGTCTGTGTGTTTATGTGTCCGTGTGCCTATGGATGCCTGCTTCTTAGTGCTTCCAGCAGCCTGAGTTTTGTTTGTGCTTCTTTGCGCCCATCAGCCTGCCCACACCTTTTCTGAAAGCGTCTCCCTGCCAGCTTCTTGGTGCTCGTCTGTGTCTGTCTACATATTTGAGTGTGGGATTTTGGATGCGTGCATCCACCTGTGTACAAGTATATCTTTGTGCCTCTGGGGTTGGAGCGCTAAACCGTCTATACCCACTCTGCTCTGGTTGTCTCCACAGAGGTGTGTGGATCTGCGGGCCCACATGGCAGGGAGACGACCATTTCTGTCATCTTCTGTGGCCAATAAGGCCCCCCCTGGTCTGGTCTCCACTCATCTCGTTTCTGTCCTTCTCAAGCCCTCTCAGTCCCCTAGCTCAATCAGTGGAAGGGACTCTGGAATTGAGTAGGGGTGTGGTTTCTGGGATCTGGGTTCTATTGAGAGGAAGCTCTACACCTTCTCTTCTCCCCGCCTCCCCCAAAAGGTGAAGGAGGCCAGGGCTGCTGGAGTAGCCAGACAGGTGCCTCCCCACCTGGGCGAGGCCTCCGCCTCCATCCCCTTCTGGGGCTGGAACACCTTGACCTACATACACCTGTGCAGCCCTGGCCCTGCCTTGCAGGAAGGAGACAGTAAGGGGGATAAGTCTCGACCTCCACAGGGCTCTGGGGAGCAGTTCCCTGTATCGTCTTTGTCCCCTCTTACCTAACTTATGCCTCCCCCAGAGGCAGGGCTCTCTCCCTGTGGATGATCTGGTGTGGGGAGGAGAGTGCTCAGAACCCCTAGGCTGAGCAGGGAAGGATGCTGGCAAGTTCCAAGGCCAGACCCCATGCTGGCTATGATTCATGCACCGTCACTACATTCCTCCTAGCTGCAATGCTGTGAGATCACGACTATTTTTATTCCTATTTTGTAGATGAGGAAACTGAGGCTCAGTGGGAAATCACTTGCCCGAGGCCAAAGACTGACTCTGAGTCAGTGTTGAAGGTGGCAGTTGAGGGCAGGTCTTCAGAATCAGGAAGACTCACCTCCCAAACCTACTCCTTGTAAAACGAGGTCTCATGCTTCTCTCTCAGGAGTAAACGGTGTCTTGAGGATGCTGGTCTCCCCTAATTCATCACACCTCTGTCTTGCCTGATTTTTCCCATGAGACTCCTGCCTGATTTTTCCCATGAGATTTCTGCCTGGATTTCAGACAGTGGAGGAAAGCGGCAGAGCTGAGGGAAGGGAAGTCTTGGCTTATTTTCTGTGGACATTTATAGAATTCCGCCCCCGCCACAGTCAACTATGTCTGTGTGTCTCTGACATAAAGAACCTGGTAGTCCCCGATAGACAGGAAGTGCCTAACAAGTGTTTTCAATGGTTATGTTGCTTTGGAGAAGAGACCTGGTTCTGTGTAGCTCTGCGCATATGGTGTGTACATGACTTTTTATGTTCATGTCGCTGTTCACACCCAGACGTATGCTATATATTTATATATACATGACCGTGTATGTCTGAGTGTATGTGTAATTTCTGTGTACATAGATTTATGTGTATAGGCATGTATATGTGGCAGTATGCCTGTATATTTGACTATGTACATATGTCCTGGTTCATATGTACACATATGACTATATTTATACATATATATGTAACAATCTTGTTTTTTTATATATATATATATATAATGTCTGCATTTGTATACACACACACACACACACACACACACGCACACATAGGTCAAACCATATGAAATTGCTATTGGTGTTTGCCAGAGGAGGGGGGTGGAGGGTGGGCGAAACGGGTGTAGGGGATTAAAAGGTACAAACTTGCAGTTATAAAAAAAAAATCCTGGGATATAATGTACAGCATGGTGTCTGTAGTTAAGAACGCTGAATTATATATGTGGAAGTTGCTAAGATCTTAAACGTTCTCATCACAAGAAAGAAAATTTTAGCGACGTACGGTGGTGGAAGTTAACTAGACTTACTGTGGTGATCATTTTGCGATTTATACAAATATCGAATCATTATGTGATACACCTGAAACTAATATAATGTTGTATGTCAATGATACCTCCATAAAAAATGAAATAAAAATAAATAAAAGCAAAACCATCCGAAAAATAAAAATAATAATTTACCAAAGGACGGGCAAGAAGTAAGGGGTGGAGAATTCGGATCTTGTGACTCCCAGATCAATGTTTATTACATAACTCTGAACTGCCTGCAGCTGCAAGATTTGGGGGGTTCTCTTACAGAGAAATCTGGGGGATGTCCACCAGATGATGGGCCCTGCCTCCTCTCCGTGCCTGACCAGTGTGTGGATGACAGCCAGTGTCCCTCAAGGATGAAGTGCTGTCGCAAAGGCTGCTTCCGCCAGTGTGTCCGTAGGGTCGCAGGTAAGTGTCCGTCCCTCTTTGCTGGCTGCCCAAGCCCCAAGCCCCGGGGACAGGGCACAAGCAGGGCTCACCCAGGCCCCTGTGTTGCAGTAAAGCTCGGCACCTGTCCCGAGGACCGACTGCACTGCCTCAGCCCCATTCAGCATCTGTGCCACACGGACTCAGACTGCAGGGGCAGCAGCCGGTGTTGCCTTGGCGCCTGCGGCCGGGACTGCCGACACCCTGTCAGAGGTATGGGCTCCTGGGTGCCGAGGCAGATTCTGTCCCTCTCTGAGCCCCAGCTCTCGGACAGTTCAACAGGCTTAGCAGGATACCTCTTGGGAAGCCTGGCTTCCTCCGTACGCCCCCATCGCCAGAATTGGGAAAGTGGATGGGGTGGAAAGGGTCCTGTTAGGACGATAGAGGAACTGGGGATCCTTGGTTCTCCCAGTAAACCTGATGGTGTTCCCTGGGACCGAACCCTAAACTGCTCTGAGCTTTAGCCTGCTTTTGTAAAGAAGGCTGGGGAGTCTGTCCTTGGTGGTTACCAGGGCTGGGCTGATGGGGTCTGGGTGAGCAATCGAGCCCAGAACTCAGAGCCCTAGCATGGGAGAGGGTTAACCTTTTCCTTCTCTCTTGTCAGGCTAATTCTGATTTAGGATCCACGGCTCTGAACCTTAGGATGGGGCTCCCAGCAGGAAGAGATGATGATGCGGTGCCTGGGACCCTGCCATCCAGACAGCACCATCTCTGCCAGTAGCAGTTCCAACCTTCTGACAAACACAGACCTGCTGTCACTTCCCCTGCAGCCCTCCCACCCCTGGTTTTTCCTCCTGGGAGTCAAGGGTCATAGTCAGACCTCAGAGGACCCCTCTCTGTACCACTGCCGCTCTGAGCTTCTCATCCTTCCTGACACCCACTTTTACATCTCTTTGTACATGTGTTTCTTTCAACTAAAGTGCCTAGTTCAGGTAGGCCTTTCTTTGTGGGGTCCTGACCCCTCCCTTGGGTAGCCCAACTACCCGAATGCATGTTCTAGCAGAGTTTCCCAAACACCAGTCAGTTCACAATTTTCACCATGCCTGCAAAATAGCATCGTGATATTTTGTATACTGCCTGTACTCCTACTTATCTAATGTTTTTCCTTAAATGAACTCACTTTTGTATATAAATTTACTTCAAGAAAAACTTGCTATCACTACTATAAATGGGGTAAGCAAGAGCACTTGCCATAAATAGAATGTCATCATAAAAGCAAATGCAATGAAAGCAGCTAAGCTCCATTAAAATCATATCTGATTAAACAATATTAAATAATGTCATTAAATTCTAGCTAGATAAGGCCACCTGCCAAGACTGTGAGCCTAAAGTCTGCTTTCTGTCTGTTATAATAAATGAAGATTGGCAAGGGTTATAGAGATGTTAGAGACACAGGTCTCTAAACTGATACTTTCTTCCTGGTACAATCAGAAGGACTAAAAAGAGAGGAACTTTCTCACTCCAAGAGTCAGTGTTGTATACGTGCACCCAGGTGCATTCCTGAGGTCATTTCAAATTGCTCCACATTTGGGAAAACATTGCTTGAACAGTTCGAATGTCATTATTTTGGGGGAGGGTCTGTCCCCACCATTGATTGGATAATACCTCATTCACCTTGATTTCTCAAGGGCCTGATCTGTAGTCAGGGCCTAACGAGTTTTTGCAGGAGAGCATCCATGAGAGAATGACAACCGTCCCAGTGGACATTTCTGGGCCCAGATAGCTAGATTCCTGACTGTCGCTTTCACTCAGGACTTGCTTGGAGGAGGGGAAGGTGGCTGGCCGACTTCTCCCTGCTTTATCTGCTGGCTCTCCGCTTGTGTCCTGATAGAATCTGGGGCTGGACAGTCAACTGTGGAGGCAAAGTTGGGAATCCTGGGTCTTCTTTCCTTGTTCCCTTGACCTTGCAGTATGGTCACAGGTGAGTCACCACTCTGCACATCTGTACCCTGTAGGAAGATGGAAAGAATTCTACTTCCTCACTGCCATGGTCCTTCTGGTGTGATTCAAATGCCTGTGCTTGACTCAAAGCAGCAGATGCTAATTATATGGATACAAGGTGAGGCCTGGGAGGGGAGGAGAGGAGAACAATCTGGGAGTCGCTGAATTCCCTGTGAACGTGGATATTTTCCTTCCTCTTTCTGGGCCTCAGTTTCCCCATCTGTAAACTCAGGCGCTTAACACAGATAATACGGCACATTGTATTGTTTGCCGCAATTGTCCCTTCCCTCTCTGCCCTTAGCGTGGTCTCCCTGGGGTAGAATATACATCCCAGGCCCAGTGATTTGGGGCTTGGCCCTGGAACTTGTTTGGGGATGTGGGTGCAAGTGAGAGTGAGATAGTTTCAAGGCAAGACACCAGCCTGCTTGTAGCTCCCACCCTCTGCCATGAGCAGAGCTTGCCCAGAAGCCACTGGTCTCAAGACGAAAGACAATCCTCAAACCTGTTAGAGGGAAATGCATGTTTATGGTAGAAAGCCAGTGAGATTTGGGGATTGTTTGTGACAGATTTGCCACAGTAAGAGCTTGGCTATTTCAGATAATGATTATTATTCTTTAGTGAATGCCCACTCTATGCCTCGCACTTTAAAACATCTTTTCATTCATCCATCCTATAACCATTCAACAAGGAAGGAACAGAGGCTTTGAGATAAGTTACTTGTCCAAGACTTTTGGTTAAAGGTGAACTAGTCAGAGTTAAACTATACCTCCTTAGATAGTAATATGCCTCCTTAGATAGTAATAAAATCAGCAACAGTTTAAATTATGATTTTTGCCCATTTCACATATGAGGAAACTGAGGCACAAAGAGATTAATTTGGCCAAGGTTGTATGGCTTGTAATTAGAGCTAGGATTTAAGCCCAAGGAGTCTGATGCCAAAGCTTACAACCTTACCGACTGCACTAATTACATTCTGAATTTGAATATTCTAGCTCTAAAGACTGTTTCCACAGCTGAACGATGGGGATTACAAAGACCCAGCGAGGTTAAGTGACCAGCCTCAATTCTAGGCAACTGGAACCCGAGTCTGTTGGTACTCAGCTCACTGCCTTGAGTTTCTTTCCTGAAAGGCAGCAGGAGGAAAAATTAAGGGGTCCCAGGAGAGGGCTCCCAGATGAGCCAGTTAGGACCTGGCTGCTAAGGGGCCCACGGCTGTCTGCAGGCTTTGACTTCTGGGCTAGTTTCCTGCAGTAACAGGAGGTGACGGATCACAGGTCATGGCTTCTCTGGCTACAGGTGGCAGTATCTACATGATGCATTCTAGAGAGTCACCTGCTCAGCTTCCTGGCTAACTCACTACCTGTTCCAACAGGTCTGTGCATTGGTCTATGCAGTGCCAGCTCTGTCCTCAGCTACCAAATTCCAGCCCATCCAGCTCCATATCCACTTCCTGTCTCCACTGCCCTTCTAGAAAGTCTACTGGGAGGCTGGATACCTGGGTCTTTAATCTCTAATCTTGCTTTCCTCCCTCACTCATTCAGTAAATGTTTGCTGAGCACTTAGAACAGAGTCTAGGCTATGTGTTTACAGAGCTCATGTACTAGAGGATGAGACAAAACCCTAGCTCAAGAGTGGCATGATATGTACCAGACAAGAGGAACCCAAGAGACTACGGGAGGCCAGGAGGGACCTAACTCAGACTGGAGACCAGAGAAAACTTGCTGAAGGATATGACAGCCAACCAAGACCTTGAGTTTTAGTAGGCATTAGCTAAATATGACACTGCTACCCATCCATTCTCCCCGTCTTCCTTACCAACAGCAATGTCACCAGTTAGAAATATTTGCCCACTGGGAGGGGCTTCCTAGAAAGCTGTTGTTTTCCTAACAAATGAGACAGACTCAGCCTTTTCCCCAGCATCCATTTGTCCTTCATCCTTCTTAGATCATGGTGCAACTAGAACAGCTATCTGATGCCTTTGAGGATTGTATTGGGTGTGTTTTCAGAAGGAAATCTCGAGATGAAGATTCATAGGATGTTTTTGGAAATGCTTCCAGGAAAAATGGGTATGGGAGTGGAGAAGTGTATCAGGAAAGGAAGTAGGCCAGTAAGGATGTGACATCAAGCAACTTCCCACAGGAGGGTTCTAGAGACAAGTGTAGTTGGCCCTTCAGACTTGTCACCATGGGACAAGGGAGCTAGAGCATTTATGCCTCTGTACCCCTCTGTCACCAGTTAAGAACTACAAGTTGGGGGACATAAATTCCCAGGCACTTAAAGATCTCCTTGTGTATGGGCACAGCTGGCTCAAACAGCCTTACAGAAGTCTTTTGACAAAGAGATGCAGATACTAGCTGTCGAGAGGGAAAGCACGCCAGGAGCCAGTGTGCACAAAAGTGGTAAAGCAGTCCGAAGGGATATGGGCAAAGCACCAACATCATCTGTTACAAGAGTGAAAGGCACACAAGGTTAGTGGAGGAGGAAGTGACAAGGAGGTTAGGTCTTCAGGGTCATTCGTGGGCGGCTGCACCAGCTCTGGACTGCCAAAAAAGAAAGTCAACTTCTCTCTGATTAAGCCACTATGGTTCACCTTTTGTTCTTGCAGCTAAATTAAATCCTTACTGCTGTACTCAGTTTAAAAAAAAGGGGCAGGAAGAGTTGTTCATGGAGGGGAACAGTATGTACTGCCCCTCACCACAATCCTGAAAGGTACTTATTGTTCCCATTCTACAGATGAGGAAAATAAAAATCCTAGAGGAGACATCACTCGGCCTATGGTTCCACAGAAATTTAGTGGTTAAAGGCAGCATTCAAACCCAGTGTATTAGTTATCTATTTCTGTGTAGCAAATTACCACATACGTAGCAGCTCAAAAATTTCTATACTTGACGCAACATCAAGCTGAATTCTTAGGGTAAAACTCCATTGGTTCAGATGTCCACTTGGGGCCCAGATTGAAGGAGAATTTGGGGAGCAGCCCATCTATGGCACTGTACGGACACCCCTTTAGCCCCAGAGGCCCATATGCCCCTCTTTCCACTCCTATCACTCAGGAATTCATCTGAGACTCCAGATAGCTCCCAGAGCATGGCCTGGGGATGAAACCAGATCCTGATTCCATTCGCTCCTGTCCTTGGGAAACAGGTCTGTCTTTTCTTGTTTAAAAACAACCTCTCCAATTCCAGGGGGAACCCCCTGAGTTTTGGAGGTAGTGAAGTCTACAGATAGTATGGGGCCAGGAAACGGGAGACCTGCTTCTCTGCAGATATGCCTCAGTTTCCTTGTTGATAATATGAGGAAATTGGGCAAGAGGATCACTAAGCACCTTCCTGCTCTTTCTGGGGAAGAGCTAAAGTAACACAGCCTAGAGCCGAGCTGTCCAATATGGTAGCCACTAGCCACATGTGGCTTCTGAGCACGTAAAATGTGATTAGTCCAAACTTAAATTAACTGTAGGTGGATGTAGTAGGCAGAGTTCTAAGATGATTCTCAGTGACCCTTCCTCATGTATAATTTCCTTCTGTTTGAGTGTATGTGGAACCTGTGAATGTGTGTCGTATAGGGAAAGGTTGATTGTCCTGGGTGGGCCTGGCCTAAGCAGGTGAGTCCTTTAAACGCAGAGCCCTTTTTCTCTGGCTGGTTACAGAAGAGGAAGTCAGCACTTTGCTTTGCCTGGAAGAAAGCAAATATCCACCTTGAGAACTGCCTGTGGGGCTATATGGCAAGGAATCACAGGTAGCCTCTAGGAGCCAAGAATGATCCCCAGTAGACAGCCAGTAGGAAAAGTCCTACCACCACAAGGAAATGAATTCTGCCAATAAATTGTGAGCTTGGAAGAGAACCACACCTTGACTTCAACCGGGTGAGACACTGCATAGAGAATCGAGTCATGCCATGACCAGACTTTTGAATTGTGAAATAAATTTGTATTGTTTTAGGTTGCTCATTGTGCGGTAATTTGTTACACAGCAATAAAAAAACTAATACACTGAACACTGAAGACGATACAAAAATTAAACGGTAAAATATCTCATTAACAATTTATTGATTCTATGTTGAAGTTATACTTTAGATATCCTGGGTTAAATAAAATGTATTATTTTGACTAATTTTGCCTGTTTTCTCTCTTTTTTTAAATGTTGCTATCAGACAACTTTAAATTATGCGTCACTCACATTATATCTATTGGACAGTGCTGGTCTGGAGGACTTGGTCAGCTACATGACCCTGAGCGGGTCACTTCATCTCTTCAAAGGCTTACATTTCCTATCCGTGAGGTTGGAATAATAATAGCACCTACCTCACAGATATATTTGCAGCTTAAACTTATCTTGGCCCAAGATAAATGCTCAATAAATGTTGGTCATTATTATTATCGATAACAATATTTTTGAAGTAGGAATCCTTTCCTTATTCAGGTGCTAATCTCTAGCACCCTCTCCCCAACCAAGTACACAGTAGGGGCTCAATAAATGCTTGTAGATTATGCAACATCGACAAAACTTTGGCACAGTTCCCTCTTACCTCACAACCCACTTGGAAGGTGGGAATCAGGAACTCATGGGGCAGGTGAGGAGACTGAACTCCGTGGGCAAAACCATGTGTTTGAGGAGGCTTCGCAGCCAGCAGGGGAAGAACTGGGTCTTGAGCTGGCTCAGGCAGAGCCTGGGGCTCACTGCGGGGTGAGGCCATCTTCTCCAACTCCCTAATGCAGATCTGCTGCCGCAGTTTTGGGGGACAGGAATTCAACCCCAGGTCCACAACTCCTAGCTAAGAGCCCTGAACAAGTGACTGGGCTTCAATTGTAAAACAGAGAACACAAGACCCTGATTCTGTCAAGTCCGTGTCAGCAATAGCTTAGATAAGTCACTTGAAGCAGAGTGCCTGGCTCATATCAATTTAGGAAGCTATTATGACTGTTGTTCCTTTGTCAGAGAAGCTCCGCTGATATCCTTCTCTAGGGGAGACCCTCGTCCCCTACGTGACTCCTCGTCCCCTGGCCCTTGACTTGGGGAGATGCCCCATTTTTAGGGCCCAGTCTCCAGACCCCCCTCCGCCCCCGCCCTCCCCAACCGAGTCAGGAATAGAAACCAACTCCTCCTGCCGCCCGCGGCCTCCCTCCCTCCCCAGGCAGCGATCGATGCGGCCTCAGCCGCGGGGGACGGAAGAAGACGGGGAAGGTGGGGGCAGCTGGGCCTCCGCAGTAGCCAGGCTCAGCGGGGCCGCCAAGGCAGAGACTCGCCCGGGTGCGGCCAGCGGCTCCCAGCCTCGGTGCCTTCGGGGACGCACGCGCCCAGCCGGCGCCGTGGAGCTGCAGCGACAGGTAAGGGGCCTCCCTCGGAGAGGGGCGTGGTCCAGGGAAGGGGTGGGGGCTGCAAGAGTGGCGGGGTAGGGGGTGGAGGAAAGGCTGCCACAGGTTCCCGGTGCAGGTGCATCTTCCACGAAACTCCCAAGGAGAGAGCAGTGTGGGATGGCCCCGCTTTTAGGGCTGGTCCTGTTTGCGCATCTGTAAAATGGGATTAGAAAACCTCTCTGGCAGAGTTGGGATTAGGGATTCAACCCAGTGAAGAGTACGAAGTGACTGGCACATAGTAGATGATCGAAATGTGGAGAGTCTTGAATCACAAACCCTAGTTTCCAGCATTACCTGTGCCATGGATTAGCTGGGTTGTTTTAAGCAAATCACTTAATCTTTCTTACTGATTGCTGGGGAAGTTTTGTTGAATTGTCCCATTTCATCCAGTAGGAAGGTGAATTCCAGAAGGAGAAAAGGGCAGCTAATGGATGATGGAACTGGATTAGAATCTTCATCTTTTGACACCAAGTCCAGGTGGAGGGGTGGACATGCAGCTGTAGCACACACGTATTTATTGTGCACAATTTACAGGTTCTGTGCTACTGATAAACACCTTGCTTGATGTAATCCTCATAACCTCTCATTGAAAGGACGATGTTCCCCAGTTTACGGACGGGGACTCTGAAGCTCAAAGAAGGGAGTGGATCAGCTCAAGGTCAACAGTTAGTAAGTGGCAGACTCAGAATTGGAACCTGGGAGTGACCAGAGAGACATGCAAAGGATTAATATTTATCGAGCACCTACTGTGTTCCAGGGGCTTTGCACACACATACAATAAGCCTTCACCTGAAGTGCTATTATTTCCATTCCATAGATAAGAGAGATAAGCCCAGAGCAAGAGGAGACTGGCCTGAGGTCACACAAGTGACAGAGCTAAGGATGAAACCCCAACCTGCTTAATGCCAAGCCCAGGGTAAGTGAAGAGCATCTGCCTGCTCCTTGCCAGGCACTGGGCCAGCTGCTTGATGTACACTCAATCCCTGTCCACTCCAGGAAGCAGGCATTACTGAACCCACAGTGCGGATGACATTACCAAGGTCAGGAGGTAAGTTACTGGCCCTCATTTCCAGCAGAGTTTAGACCCAGTGGCAGGACCTGACATTTCCTGAGTAGCTACTAAAGCTGAGCACTTCCATAACCTACCTTCCAGTCTACCTTGGAGGCAGGTGCTAGTGTCTGCATTGTGCAGGAAACTGAGACGTGGAGAAAAGCATCTTCCTTAAGCTGCCCGGTGCCCCTAAGGTGGAGATAAATCTAGGTTTGCCTGACTCCAGGAGACAGTGAAATAGGTGGATAACTTACTTAACTTCTTCTGGGAGCCAGGCCCAATAAAGACATGAGTTCATCTAACCTTTTTAACCACAGTTGGTGTTGGATATTTTTATCTCCACTTGACAGAAGCTCAGAGAGGTGATGTGACTTGCCTATGGTCACACAAGAGAGCCAAAGTTCAATGTGACTGACTCTACAGATGCTTTAAATACTTAAGCCAATGGCTCTCAGACTTGACCATGCGTCGGAATCACCCTTCACGCTTCTTCAACACAGACTGCTGGACCCCATCCCCAAAGTTTCTGATTCGGCAAGTCTAGAGCAGGCTGAAAATTTGCATCTTTGACACATTTACAGGTGATGCTGAGGCTGCTAGTCCAGAGAACACACTTTGAGAACTACTGGTCTATATTAATTTTGCCCAAAACCTTAGGTGATAAGCATCGCTGTCCCCGTTTTGCTGAGGAAACTGAGGTTCAGAGAGCTGGTGTGTCCAAGATCTCACAGTAGACCTCTGGGATGTGAAAATCCAAGTTTGTCTGGGAAAGGGAGAGACATCCTCTCTGGGCACGCCCCAGGTGCCCGGACATCCTGTCATTCAACCACTTTCATAATCCTCCAAGGTAGAGCTCAGCATTTGCTTTATGCCAATGAAAATGGGGTGCGGAGGGCCAGCGATCTGGCCAAAGTCCCTCGGTCGGAAAGTGAGATCTATGCAAACCCAAACCTAATTCTTGAGTCCAGGGAGCACTTGGCACCTCCTGGGCACCTCCTGCGTACCAGACGCTTCACATAGAACCTCCGACAACCCCTGGCTGGTGGATGGGGCAGGGAATTTGAACTTGGTCTTCCTGGAAGGGAGGTCCGGGGAATCCCCTCAGAGCGCCCCTCGCGTCTCCGCAGGCCGGCGCGCCGCAGCCATGGTGAGCGAGTCCCCGCGGCCCGGCGCCAGGGTCCCCTGGAGACGAAGAGACGAGGCGCTGCGCGTGAACGTGGGCGGCGTGCGGCGGCGGCTGAGCGCGCGCGCCCTGGCGCGCTTCCCAGGCACGCGGTTGGGCCGCCTGCAGGCCGCGGCTTCGGAGGAGCAGGCGCGGCGCCTGTGCGACGACTACGACCCCGCGGCGCGCGAGTTCTACTTTGACCGGCACCCGGGCTTCTTCCTGGGGCTGCTGCACTTCTACCGCACCGGCCGCCTGCACGTGCTCGACGAGCTGTGCGTCTTCGCTTTCGGCCAGGAGGCCGACTACTGGGGCCTGGGCGAGAGCGCACTGGCCACGTGCTGCCGCGCACGCTACCTGGAGCGGCGCGTGGCGCGGCCGCGCGCCTGGGACGAGGACAGCGACACGCCGAGCAGCGTGGACCCGTGCCCGGGCGAGATCTCCGACGTGCAGCGGGAGCTGGCGCGCTATGGCGCGGCGCGTTGCGGCCGCCTGCGCCGCCGCCTCTGGCTCACCATGGAGAACCCAGGCTACTCGCTGCCCAGCAAGCTCTTCAGCTGCGTCTCCATCGGCGTGGTGCTCGCCTCCATCGCCGCCATGTGCATTCACAGCCTGCCCGAGTACCAGGCCCGCGAGGCGGCGGCCGCCTTGGCCGCTGTGGCCGCGGGCCGCAGCGCGGAAGACGTGCGCGACGACCCAGTGCTGCGACGTCTCGAGTACTTCTGCATTGCCTGGTTCAGCTTCGAGGTGTCGTCGCGCCTCCTGCTGGCGCCCAGCACACGTAACTTCTTCTGCCACCCGCTGAACCTCATCGACATCGTGTCCGTGCTGCCTTTCTATCTCACGCTGATGGCTGGTGCGGCGCTTGGCGACCAGGGAGGCGCGAGCGGCGAGGAGCTCGGCGACTTAGGCAAGGTGGTGCAGGTGTTCCGCCTCATGCGCATCTTCCGCGTGCTCAAGTTGGCGCGCCATTCCACAGGGCTGCGCTCGCTGGGCGCCACGCTCAAGGTAACCGGGCCTCTGAGGCCGGGTTGGGGATCAGGTGGAGGCGGGTGTAACCATCAGGCCGGTCAGGTGAACTTACAAGCCTGCTGCGTCCAGGCGCTCAGGGAACTGAAAAGCTATCCTTTATGCCAGGCACAGGTGTACATTTCACGTCCAGTCCGACCTTTCCAACAGCCTTGTAAGGAAGGGCTTCCGGTTATCTTTATTTCCCAGGGCAGAAAACTGAGATAGAAGAGGTTTGAAGGAGCAGGGAAGGGGGAGAGAGTCAGAGAGCTAGAAGGAGAGAAAGAAAGAAAAAGAAAAGACCAAAGTTCACTTTTGATAAATCAAAAGTGAACGTCTAATAGTGCATAGCACAAAAATATGCAAAGCAAGACACTAACTGGCTTCTCCGCTGAGCCTTTCTTCTGTCATTATCGGGGGCTCGGTTATCATAGGTCCCCCTTAATAGGCCGAGTCTAGCACTAGCCTCGGAGCTAACACTAAGTGCTATTTCTGTGCCAATTTCATATCCATTATCGATTTCACCCTCAGGACAACTTCCTCAGGAAGATGCTATTATGCATTCCCTTCCCGTAGATGAAGAACCTGAGGTTGAAGGGTTGGCGTTTTAAAGCCTAGTTACAATTGGTTGAGGACCCTCCTTGTGCCAGGCCCTGCACTGGGAGTGGATCACCGCCCAGTGGCAAACTTACCCTTAAGGGGGTGACATTAGGCAGTTTTGGGGAGGGAGGACATGGGAACAGCTTAGCCGAAGGCTTGAAGAGAGGACAGGATAAATGCTGGGAGGGGAACATGGAGGGAACGGGCGTCAGTCGATGGGGTTGGAGAGGTGAGTGGGACAGGATATCGAAGGGCCATGAACTCTTGGCCCAGGATTTTGGACGTTGTCCCAAGGGAATAGGGAAGCCTGTGAGGGGTTTAAGCAGGGGCAAGTATTATTTGTCACTACTTTGCAGATGTGGAAACTGAGGCTCCAAGAGGTGACAGGACTTGTCAGAGGCTCCTCAGTGAGTGAGTGAAAGAGCCTAGAGAAGAATCCAGCTGTGACTGACTCCAGCACCTCATGTTTTTTCTCCTAAAGCCCCGTGTAACCCTGCCAAGGATCCCCAGAAGGTGCCGAAAGATCCCTTCCACCCACGGCTTGGTAAAGCCTTTGGGACGCCCTCGTGGCAGGGCAGTCAGGATGCTGGGTGCAGGCAGGGCAACTGGGCAAAATGCTAGGGTGACGAGCAGATGCAGAGAATTCCATTAGCCAGACCTCCTGAACTCAGAATCTCTCCCAGGACAATCTCTCTGCCCCAGCACTCTGCCTTGCCTCCACCATACAGGGGGCCAGGGCCCAATGCTGCCCGTTTATTCTGCAAGAACATTGATGGAGGCCGACAGAGTCCAAGACACAAGTTTAAGACTCCAGATGAGAGCCTCGCTACTCCAAGCGAGGCCCCTGACCAGCAGCAGCTTTTTCATTAGCTGGAAGCTTGCTAGAATTGCAGCCTCCCTGACTCTACCCCAGGACTCCTCAACTGGCTTCTGCCCTTTAATCAAGATCTCTACATGATTCCTCCACACTACAGTTTGGAAGGCCCAGCTCTAGACTAGGGGTTCTCAGGCTCTATTAATATTTGGAGCCAGGTAATTCTTTGTGGTGGAGGGCTGTCCTGTGCATTATAAGATGTTTAGCAACATCCTTGGCCTCCACCCACTCGATGCCAGTCGCACACCTGTCCCAGGTATGACAATCAGAAATGTCTCTATATATTATCAAACGTCCCCAGGGGGGAGGCCAGGATTGCCCATATTTGAGAACCACTGTTTCAGGGGTGGTCTAGGGAATGTGTGTGTGTATATTCTCTCAGCTTCCTTGAGAGGCATAAAATATTTTCGTACTTATCAGAAATGTGATTGACAGGTCAAAAATACATGAAACCAACTCTTTGTGTTGTAGAGTATAAACTATGGATTTTCTCTTGATTATGCAACAGTGTAAAAATCACAAGTTTTTCATTAACTGACTGGTGCCACCAGTGTCCCCCACATTAGAAGAAACAATTGTGACTTAGCAAGCACCTTGGACAATGGGAATTAGGCCTATGTTCTGTCCCAGGGAGTTTTGCTGTTTTTATTTAGTTGAAAGACCTTAGTTTAGAGTCAGAGGACCCGGGTCTTACCACTAGCTCTACCTCGCTCTGTGACCTCAGACCTGTCCCTTCTACTCTCTGGGCCTCGGTTTCCCCAAATGCCCAATACCAGGTGTGTCAGCCCACCCAGCTCTGACTCAGCTCCTACGTTCTCTTCCAGCACAGCTACCGTGAGGTGGGCATCTTATTGCTGTACCTGGCCGTCGGTGTGTCAGTGTTCTCCGGTGTGGCCTACACAGCTGAGAAGGAGGAGGACGTGGGCTTCGACACCATCCCAGCCTGCTGGTGGTGGGGCACAGTGAGCATGACCACCGTGGGCTACGGGGACGTGGTGCCGGTGACAGTGGCTGGCAAGCTGGCAGCCTCGGGCTGCATCCTAGGGGGCATCCTGGTAGTAGCGCTCCCCATCACCATCATCTTCAACAAGTTCTCCCATTTCTACCGGCGCCAGAAGGCTCTGGAAGCCGCCGTGCGCAACAGTGGCCACCGGGAGTTTGAGGACTTACTGAGCAGTGTTGATGGGGTATCAGAGGGGTCTCTGGAGACATCCCGTGACACCTCCCAGGAGGGCAGGTCTGCAGACCTGGAAGCCCAGGACCCCAGCAGGCCTCCAAATTCTCACATTTATTAAAATTAATGCTCCATGTCTCTCTTCCCACACTGCTGCAGTCAGCTGCAACAGAGCAGGGATTCTTCCCCTGCTTGAGTTCTTCATGGTAGCCTGACCGCTCAGGATGACTCACCCTACCATGAGAAATGACACCCAGAGGCTGGGTCCCTTCCTCCAATGGCCAAGGGCGGGATAGTGTTACCCTAGATCCCGTGAGCCTGGAGTGACTCCGAGACCTTTATAAACAAACCTCCGAGCCATCTGGGAAGCAGCATGAGCCAGAAGGAGAAAGTCAGAAGGATGCTAACAGATCTTGAGCACCTGCTGTCTATTAGCCAGATCACATTTGGCCTTATGTCGGAGGACGAGAATTATCCCCATTTCACAGGAACAAGCTGAGGCTCAGAGAGGTTCGATGACTTGCCCAAATGTCACACAACCAGAAGTGGTGGAGTCCAGTTTGGAATCCAAGCTCATTGGTCTCCCAAAACAATGTTCCTTCCATTCTGCTGCCCTCACGAAGCCTGCATGGATTCCCAGAGTTGATCCATAGTGTTAGAACCCTCTGTTAGCACTTAAAGAAAGGATCAGACAGGGGATTCAGATGTAGGAGCCCTTGACCTCATCTGTGGTACTTTTCCAGGAGATTCTAACAGGCATCAGCTTTCAAAGATGAGGTCTGGGAGGAAGGAAGCGAGAGTTGCCTCCTTAGCTGATGTCCAGGATTTACTGAGCAACCCAGGGCTGGCTTGAGATACAGGAAAAGGGGCCCTGGCCTGAGCCCTAAAGTCTGGACCTGGCTATGCTAAGACCTGATGTATGAAGTGGGCAAGTCCCTGCCCATCGCCAGATTTCGGCCCATCTGTCACATGCTGACAGTCTGGGCCCAGAGGGAGAAGAAAGCCAAATGGAACAGGGAGACACTGACTTCAAGCCAGCTTGGCTCTGAGGAGTTGGTGGCAAGGGGCTGCCATGCATCTGTCCCCCCGACCCTGGATTCCCCACCCTGCCAATCTGACCTTGGCAGTTCCTGTCTTCCCATCATGAAGACCTCCAGCTGTACCTTGAGTTACCATCCAGGCAAATGCTTGAGACTCCTGTGGAGGTGCAATTGACCCTTCAATTAACACTCCCTTCGACACTCCCTTAGGCTATACTTAATCTTCTTCTTCCTGAAATTCCACAGAACCAGCCTTTTCTTTTTTATGCAAGCAGGCCTCCCGAGACAATCCATGCACTCTTTTGAATTTGGGGAGCTTTAGCTCCCTACAGCTAAGACCTTATGTATGAAGTGGGCAAGTCCCTGCCCATCAGGCCTGAGCCCTAAAGTCTGGACCTGGCTATGCTAAGACCTGATGTATGAAGTGGGCAAGTCCCTGCCCATCGCCAGATTTCGGCCCATCTGTCACATGCTGACAGTCTGGGCCCAGAGGGAGAAGAAAGCCAAATGGAACAGGGAGGCACTGATTTCAAGCCAGCTTGGCTCTGAGGAGTTGGTGGCAAGGGGCTGCCATGCATCTGTCCCCCCCACCCTGGATTCCCCACCCTGCCAATCTGACCTTGGCAGTTCCTGTCTTCCCATCATGAAGACCTCCAGCTGTACCTTGAGTTACCATCCAGGCAAATGCTTGAGACTCCTGTCCCTTTGGCCAGTTTCAGTCCCCTCATCCGTGCTGGGGGCGTATCTTGTATACTCACCTACTGAATCCTCTCTACTTGCTAAAAAAAATTGGCATGGAAGCGTTCCCATAGCCCTTTTCACATACTGTTGCTAGAACATCCATCACCATACTGTCATTGCCTGATTGTGGCTCTGTGTCTGTCCCATCACACTGGTTCTGGTTAAACCTGGGCTTGGTGCAGAGCAGGTATTAAGTAAATGTTGACTAGATCAACCAATTCATAAGCTATTGTGTGCCGAGCACTGGGGAGAAAGAGGAAAGAGCCAGAGAGACACCTTGCCTTTAAGAGAATGTAGACAAGACTGAGAAAGAGGTCCTTTGGGTCTGCCTCCCTCTTCCTCCTTGCTTTTCAAGGTTCTCACAATGACTTCCTTGTAGTGTCTTCACTCACTCATTCAACAAATATCCACCAGAAAAGTCCTAAGCGGGGGCTTCACATGTGGCCTGCAGACAGATTTTGTTTAGCTGAACAGTATTTTTAGTATATTTTAAAATTCGAATGCCTTGGGGTGAGGCATGCACTGTCCAGTCTCCCACCGCGCCCCCCGCCCCCCACACACTGTCGCTTCTGTGTTAGCCCCACTAGTTCTCACTTTACCCACCCGGCCTGTGATTTATTGACTCTTACTGGGTTCAAGGGATGCAGTGTCAAGCAAAATATATACTTCTTTGTTGTGAAACTTACAGACTAGTGGGGAGACAGATTTTAATCCCATAATCACACAAATATGTACTAATGAGTCTACTAAGTACAGGGAACTACACGTGTGTATCATGTGGCAGGGACCGTTAACTTCTCAGGTCAGAGAAGACTTTCCTGAGGAAGTGATGATTTAACCTGCCATCGTATGGATAAATGGTAATTAGTCGGTCGGGGTTCCAGGAAAGCAGTGTATTCCAAGCAGAGGGAATGGCATGGGTGAGGGCCTCGTGTCATGCACAGGGCCTGGGACATAGTAAGCCTCCACACACAGATGGATGCCCGTCTCCAGACCAGAAGAGAGACTGGCGCTAAGCCCAGGGGCCGCTCATAAACTGACCACGCACGTGCGTACCAGCCCTCCCACGCACTCACCCGGTAATGCCTAGGCCCAGCTCTGCCCAGGTCGGGGCTCAGAAGCCAGGAGAGCCGCATGCCCCACCCTTCTGGTCTTGCTGAACATGCCAAGGAGCCGGTTAGCTTCCGGACTTTCTGATCCCACAGACTAATCCCTAGAGCTGGTGTGGGGAGAGCTCTGGGGAATCGTCTGGCCTGCATCCATCACCAGGTGGTGTGTGGTCCTGGCAGAAAAGCTACAACGCACTCCCACTCACATATATCAATGAAAAACATTATGCAAATAAAGAGGGTGGGCCCAGGGACCTGTTTCTGCCTATATGGAGCTGGCCACCCGGTGTGTTTTCTGGGTGATTGGGGAGGGTGGGGTGATATATGGAGTGACTCAGAATCCACATTCTCTAGTTCTAATCTTTGATTTGGCAGAGGTTGCAAGTGACAGGAATCCAGCTGGAACTAACTTGGTCAAAAAGGGTGATCGAAGTGATGAACGAATGTTACAGTTAGGGTTCTTTGACAACGTGCAACAGAAACTGACTGCCTTAAGTGAAAAAATGAATTTATCGGAAGGTGTATTAGTTTCCTGTGGCTGCTATAACGAATTACCACAAACTTGATGGCTTAAAACAACGGAATTTATTGTCTCACCATTTTGGAGACCAGAAATCCAAAATCGAGGTGTCAGCATACTCTCCAGAGGCTCTAGGGGAGAATTCTCTCCTTGCCTCTTCCAGCTTCTGGTGGCTGCCAGTGTTCCTTAGATTGTGGCTGCATCACTCCAAACTGCCTGTCATCACATCGCCTTCTCCTCTGTGCATCAAATCACCCGATGCCTCTCTCTCATAAGGACACTTGTGATGGCATTTAAGGCCCACTGGGACAATCCAAGATGATCTCATCTCGAGATCCTTAACTTAATCACACCTGCCAAAAAAAAAAAAGACCCTTTCCCCAAATAAGGTTAACCTCTATAGGTTCCAGAGATTAGGGTGTGGACATATCTTTGGGACCTCCATTCAGCCCACCTCTGAAGGGTACTGGTAAATTCACCCAATCAGGGGAAAGGCTGACTGACCAACCTCAGGAAGTAGAGGAATGAGGGGAGCTCTTCGGACCACAGTGGCAGGACCTGTGAACCTTCTGTTTAGGACACTGCCATCCAAATGGTCCTCCTCCAATCACTTTCCTTCCCAGGATCATTCTGCTCACAGTCCCAATCCCAAGAAAGAGGTGGGTTTGCCTAGCTTGTGTCACATCCTCTCCCTTGGTGGGGATGAACAGCAGGGTACCTGGATCAACTTCTATAACAGATCACATGGGATGGAAGAAAGGTAGTTACCCAAAGAAAAGGCCATGTGATGTCACCAAAATTAAGGGGAAGGATATTAAATAGGCAATAATAGTAGATGTCCACTACATTCCAACTATTGGAATTGGCTGCTCAGCATACCATGTGCTCACACCTTCTTCCCATATGTACATTTTATAAGTGTTTCTAACAAAAGGAAACGATCTTGTATATAACCCAAAAATGTACTTTTGCTCTCTAGGCCCTATTAGTGTGATTTCATCAATGTAGTGGGTCAGCTTGATGCCTTGTGGAATAGGATCAGGGAATCGAATTCTTTCTGATACAGAGCAGGAGGAGAACTGAGGGATCCCTGAGTGGAATATTAAAGGATAGCAAAATGCTTCCGGTGTTTTCTGTTTTTCGGACTAGAAAATGAAACCAGTAGAGTTATATTAGCTCCAGGGATTATAATAAAGAGCACATATCCAACACAGCAGCTAAAATTGCAATTGCCATTTGATTAAAATAACCCATTGTCATTTTCCAAGACCCACCTAATCTGCACCAGCCAAATGGGGGAAACAATGGAGTTTTGATAGGTGTCATCACCCTACAGGGTCTTGAGTGGAGGCACTGATCTCTGCAGTCTCCCCAGAGATGTATCGCTGCTGAGTTTTCTATTCTAACAGTTGCTCAATTGGATTCTATTGGCCTTTTCTATTCTAATGGCCTCCATGGGCCAGGGAGCCAAGTGGGGGCCTTTTCTAACTATCACTCAGAAACTGGAGATATAGGACAGCTTTGGGACCCCACTAGACCTCCAGTGTAGGGACAAAGATCAAAACACTATTTTTCACATGATTAGTGGACCTCCAGTAATACTCTCGGACTCAAGAAATTGATATTAGCTCAAAGTCTTCATCCAAGATTCCCTGAAAGGTTTGGGTATTTCCTTTTCTTCAGTATTCAGTCGCCCTGGAAAATTGCCACAGGTCCTTTTAGAGAAGGCAAGAGAAATGTTCACATTATATTCATGTAGCAGTAGAGCAGAGGCCTTCCTCAAGGGCAGGTAGTGTGTGCTTCATTCACAGGGCTGTAGATTAATAAACCAGCTCAAGCCTAGGTGTCAGGCGATGCTCTGTAACTATCATGGTGGCTTCAGTCGGGACTTTTTTTTTTTTTGTCAGGGCTAGAAAATGTTTCTGGTTTTTGTTTTGTTTTCTTTCTTATGTTTGCTTGGTTATATAAATCAAATAAGACTTAGTGGCCACCTTTGATTAAACTTTTTAGGACCCTCCAGCGGGAGATCTTGCCTCACGCAGAGACTGCTGAATATTACTGAGACCTTCCCATTTAATTTCTGAGAGTTAAATGCCTGGTCTCCCACACCTCTGCATTCTTGCTCCTTTTTGATGTTGGGGAACCCCTCCACCCAGCACTCCTGACCTAGACTTTGTTCAAAACTAGGGTCAAGTGTTTTGGGTTCATTAAGGACCATAGTTACAAGCATTTGTAAGGAGGAGGAGGCGGCACCAAACAGATCCAGTCCAGCATCCCTACTTCAGAAATTTTTGAATTCCTTCTTCTACATGATGCCAAGAGATTTGGGATCTTTAAATTCCATTTCATGTGGGCCAGTGTTTGGTCCAAGTCTGCACTGGCCAACCCATCATTTGGAAGTGAGCCAGCTCCTGGCAAGGGCGCAGAGAATGCAGAACCCCTGGTACATGCATGCACATCAAGAAGATCAGCCTGGTCCAACATTACATTTCCCCTTCCTTCAAGTGCCACAAAAATCCATTCCCACAAATACTTCTCAAATTTCTGAGGGTATCAATTAACAAGTTTCTGCACTTCTGTGTGGCTCCAAGATTCTTTCCTACTGAGAGTCTATTTTTTACTCCCTAGGACAAAACTGATCCCTGCCTTCCAGCTAAGCAGCCTTGAGCATTAGGGCAAGTGGGCATTTGGGATCTTTCTCCAGTAAGGAAGGGAGGGGGCTGCTTCCGCCCAGTGTTTTAGATTGCCATGGATTTCTCCCATGTCCTCTCATATAGCTGTTCCACTTGTCCTAATCCCACTTTCTGTCTATGCCTAACTTCATCAAAGGGCAGCAGGGCTGTGAACTCAGCAGGCTGCGTGATCAATTGCCAACTTTGGTTTTGGAGATCTCAGCCCTACCTTAAGTCCTAAGAGATTTTTTTGTCGTGGTCGTAGAAAGGCTCTCCATTTTATTCTGTACACACACACCCTACCCCGACCCTGCCCAGTTATGTTTGGGCTGGCTTCCCTTTACATTCTTCTGTGCAGTTAGAAATAAAACATTCTATCCTATAACCTGGGCTCACTAGACCACGAGGTGTCGTTCCCTGAAGTACAGCAAATCCTCAGATAACACTGTCATTTTGTGACAATGTTAATGAGATGCCATTAGTCTACAGTAACCTTGGTTTCCTTATGTTATCCCTTAAAGATGCAGAACCTCTTGATGGCATTACCTGAGGCCTTACTGTACTTTGTGTTTACATGTAAATGAGGTTTGATTTAGCATCAGGTGTTTATAAACAAGTATCCCACCAACATAAATGTCTGGTGGGACATTTGAATGTGGCGCTGGATGCAGGACAACTTTGTGTTGTGCAGCACTGTCCCAGAATGCATTGCAGGCCATCTAGCATCCCTGCCTCTACCCATGAAATGCTGAAAGGGCCCTACAATCCTTGTCACAACAAAAACACTCCGACACATTTCGAGAACACTTCCGAGTGGGCAGTGCTCGACACTATGAGAATCACATATAGGAGGGGTGTAGTACTTTGTATCTCAAAGTCTGAGAGAAAAAAATGAAATAATCTAAAAGGCTCTGCATTGTGTCTGACATATAAGTGCTTAGTAAACATCAATTTGCTTCATTTCTTCCCTCCTTAGGATCTTAATCTGACCAACAGGGAACATCCATCATCAACCCTGGCAACCGTAAGGAAGGTCTGCTGAATATTTCAGGGAGTGAGGTGTGTAAGTTAGGCATCAAGAAACATCACCCCCACTCCCAGAAAAGCTGGCAGAATAGCATATAGCTTATTTTATACAGACTATAGAACTATTATGTGACATATTGTAGAGCAATTTGACTTGAGGCCTACAATGACTTTTCAGTGTAACCCTGTTCCCTCCCTGCTGTGAAGCAAGCTTTTAAGACTGAGAGAACCCAGAATCAGGCTAGGGAGTTGTCCCCGGGTGAAGATGGGCCACACAAGGGCAGGACCATGGTGCTCCCTCTGAATGCCAGGCTGTGCCTGGCCTGGCTTCACGCAACGACAGACAGGGTTGAGGGTTCCAAGGTCACTTTACACCCAGACTCTCATAGAGACTGTGTAGGCCAGTCTCTCTGCCCAGAACGCCTGCTCTGCCTCCCTTCCCACACTTTCTCTACTAGTTCAAGGTCTTTTACTTCCTTCCTTCGACACTCCAGCAGAACTGTCACTTCCTTCTCTTGTGTCCACAGGCTGTATACTTCCTTCTACCATAGTATCTCCAAGTACTGTGATCTCGTGTGTCTGACTGACTCCCCAGCTGGTCTGCACGAACTTCTTCCATAGTATTTCCAAATACTGTGATCTCGTGTGTCTGACTGACTCCCCAGTTGTGTCTGGTTCATTTTTATTATATCCCTGACAGTGAGCTCAGAGCCTGGCACACAGAAGTTGTCCAACAAAATTTACTCTCTATGCTACCTACCTCTCGTCGGCTTTGGATTCCGGAATAAACGCAACACAAAGATTCACAGCACCATTATTCGGGCTATAAATGGAGGGTCTCCTTTTTAAGAAGAGGATAATTTGTGGGCTGAAGGGCAGTTTATTTAAAACAAAGGTGACAAGGTGTAGGAAGAAGGAAGGAGGGAGAACAATTCCAACGTAAAAACACATAGGAAGCATCTCAAATTTTTTAAAAAAAGGCAATAAAGGAAGGTATTTATGTTTCATACATATACAAACTGCTGACTTCGACTGATTATTTACAGCCAAATCTTATAAAATAGCATTTCAAGTCAGCACTTAAGCCAGTGTTACTAGTTTTTGTTACAAAAAAGTTAAAGCTACAAACTTCACATTTTTAAGTTGTACATCTGCAACAGCATTTATGCTTTTTTTTCCCAAGTTGGTCTGAGTGCAAGCTGGTGAAAGAGGATTTTACTTTCCCCAAACACAAATAAGAACATGGGTTCCAAAGACAATGAGTATAATCCTGATGAAAACACAAACACGGCGCTTCAGAAAGGATGGGGCAGGGGGTGTGGACTGGGCAGGAGCATTTTCCACTCAGTAAGGAGCTGCAATCTTTGGAGGCAACATGGTATGCTAGAAAGGGCCCTGGAGTAAGAATCGGAACTGGATTTGAATCCTGGCTCTGCCACATTCTACCTACGTGACTTTGAGCAACTGACTTTATTTTGCTGAGCCTCTGTTTCCTTATCTGTAAAATGACAGTAATATTTCCCAGAGCTATTACGTTTTAATAAATATAGGGCTATTCAGATTATCTATTTCTTCTTGAGTTTAGTACTTTATATCTTTACAAGAAATTGTCCATTTCATTTAAATTGTTGAATTTGCATAAAATTGTTCATAGTATTGTTATTAGCCTTTTAATATCTGTATAGGACCTATAATGATGTCACCTTTCTTGTTCCTGATATTGGTAAGAGCTATTGAGATTTGAATGGTGTAATAAATTTCTGGCATCTGGTAGGTGCTAAATAAATGTTTCCTGGATCAGAAAGTCTCAAGGAGTTAAGGCTATAGTGCTTAAGTTGCTTCAGTTATTGATTCTGTCCCTATCTCTCTCTCTCTCTCTCAGCATCATCAATCATCATCTACCAATCATCATCTATCATCTATTTGTCTGTCTGTCTATCATCTACCTGTCTATCTATCTATCCAGCCAAATGTTCATCCATTAATCCAATTGGTTGGGAGAAGGGACAGTGGAAAAAGAAAAATAGAAATTTGCTTCAAAATTAATGATGAGGAAGCAACTGAGATATTCTTAAGAGAAATGAAGTTTTTTAAAGATACAATTAGATGTGGGTCGTTCTTTCTTAGAAGGAGAGAACAAGTGAGGGGCTAAGAATTCCCTGGAAGCTTGAGTCACAAATGCTCAAGCAATGACTGTCACTCAGGGCTAAATGAAAGCACACCGATCTATCTAGAATTTAATATTTATGGGAAAAAATGACTAGGATTTGCTCCTCTGTCTTCCTGTCGCTAGAAAACAAATTCGCCTTGTCAGGAAATTTATCTGATCCAAAAGGAATTAATTTCTGGCAAAGAACTCTGTCTAGCTAGACTGGAGAGCAATGTACCTTGTTGGACCAGCATGCTGGGTGCACACATGCTTCAAACAAAGTAAGCTCAAGATTCGTGCCCATTAGAAGTTACTTTGTCTGTGCAAAAATAGGTGGTCACTTCATTTTAAAAAGACCTGTGACTTTCCTTTCCCCTGTAAACACTGGTCCCATGTGGTGATGCTGTGAATCCTGATTCTACCTCTTACTAGCTTTACTGCCTTGGGAAGGAACTCCGCGCCCCCCCCACCCCCAACCCTGTTTCTTCATCTATGAAATGGAAATAGAGTACTTAACTCACAGAGTTATTATGGAGTTTAGAGCTGACACACAGAAAGAACCCACCTAGCTCAGTGCCTGGCATATCGTTAAGTGGTCAACGAGTGCTAGCTGCCATTTATTATTCTAGTGGGATCCTCAAACTGTCCTCTATTCTCTGTGTTTGCCACATAGCTGCTTAACCGGCCTACAGACCAACTACTGCCTCTTGCATTTTTAAAAATTTGTTTTAATTGCAAAGAATAGAATCTAGCCACAGAAGAGAAACATTCCTTGCCTTTCCATTGATTCCCAGGTTGCGGAAGCAAAAGCAATTATGGAGTCAAATGATAGTATCCTGAGGTGCCACCCAGTCATAGTCCCCTATCTGAGAGGAAGAGAGACTTGAAAATAAAAACATATTTGCTTTCCCAACTATCTCCTCTTTGCTGTGTGACTGACTGACATGTGGCCTTGAGCCAACACTGCAGAAAAGCTCAGTGCTGTCTTTTGCACACCCCCTGATCTGCTTTTGGCCCTAAATCTGACAGCATAAAGCTTGCTGCTATCTGGCAGATGCTGCAGGGGCCAAGGAATGGCTGAAATGGAATGATCTTATAGGCAGTCACCCACTGAAGAGACAAAGCAAGAGCAAGCTTCTGTTAGCAGGCTTCCCTGGAACAATTTAACCAAAATGGACACAAGTTTCTTCCTCGGTGAAGGGGCTGCTTGGCTCAGTGAACCAGGAGTGAGGAGCCCCGAGGTCTAGTCTCAGCGCCTACTTTAACCTGCTTTGCGATTCTGGCCGCGTCACCTGCCCTCCCCAAGCCTCAGTCAGGCCAGATGACGTCTAGGGTCCCTTCCAGCTCTGGCATTCCACGTGTCTGGGTTGAGCCTCCTGGAGAACAAATCTGAGTCTGACATTCACTTATCCTTTCCAGACCCCTTAGCAGTAAAATAAAAAAAAGAAAACGGTCACATATTTGAATGTGGATCACAAAAATCAATGCCCTCCACCCATCTGTAAGGAATGTGGAGCGAAATGCCACACGTGTGATCTTCACATGAACAGCGAGAACTTCGAGAACCCTTTCCCGTCTGTGGACTGAACACAGCTGAGAGCTCCTGGCAGGCCTGTCCCCTCACTGGGTCACGTCTCCGCCTCTTAAGGCACTGGGCAGTATCTGTGCTGTGACTTTAGGCAGTTGGGAGAGTGGAGGTGAATGAAAGGCGCTGAAACCGCAAAGGCCGATTTGCAAAGAGGGCGCCGGGCTTCTCCTGGGACTGGAGAAGTACACACAACTCAAGGCTTTCCCTTGGACGTCACCAATAGCTCCAGAAACCGGGGATGACCCACGCGAGGCCGGAACTATGGTGAGAACTGGCCTGAATGTAATTTTTAAATGCAGCCCTGCAGAAGGGTGAGGTTGGCCCCTGGAGTCGGGTGACCCCAGAGCCCCCGTGTCCTCTGCCTTTGTGTTCCGTGGTACCGTAGTCTTAAAGAAAAGAGGCAAACTGTTTAGAACTGTACCTGTACAGAGATGCCACCACACTGAGTGGCAGGGCGATCTAGTTATAATTTATATATATATATGCATATTTATATATTTTTAAAAAGTCTTCCAGAAAGAACAATTGAAAGCTATCGGGAGAAGAGAAACAAAAGACCGTGTCAAACTTTCCCAGCTATCACTCGACTAGGAGTCTCTGTTCCTGGGGTTTAAAACTCTGAGTTTAAAGGAGCCAATGTAAATCCTTTGACGTAATAAACCTGACCAGTTTGGACACACACATCACGACGGCACGCTGACTGTCGAGGCAGCTCTTCCCACGGGCGCGCGTTCCTGAGCTGGCGAGGGTGCTGTGGAGAAACACGGCGCAGAAGTGCTGGCTAACAAGCTTGAGCGGCGAGCGGCCCCGAGCCCCCCGGGGGCCGTGTGCGAGCGGGCGCCCCGCCCGGCCTGGCTCAGAAGTTTTGCTGCCGCCGCTTCTTAGCCTCGATGGCATCCAGGATCGGCTGCCGCTTGGACTGGTACTTCTGCCGGATCTCTTCGATCTCCTGCTCCATCATGGGGTCGAGGGCCAGGAGCCTCTTCTGAAGGTCCTCCACTGTCCAACTCTTAAGCTAGAAGAGAAGCGGAAAGTACAGTCACGACAGGGCCCGGGTCAGCGGCAGAAGAGCAGAGAAGTCAGCCTCTGCCGGCACCCAGCGGGGAGGGAGAGAGAAGGACGTGTGGTCAGACCAAGTCTGGGGTGGCAGTGGTCGGAAAGTGACATTCGTTCAAATACATGGCACCAAGCTTTTTAAAGACGATTTATCCCTGTAGGAGTTCGGAAGTGTGAATCTCTTTGATCGACTGTGTCTTCACCAGGGACTTAATGAACCATACTTTCATCTCCACTATCTTTTAAATTAATTATACATAGACTCATTGTTAGGGCATTAAAATAACAGTCACTTGGTGTATGCGAAATCATGGTTGCCTCCCAGTTCTTGTCCTACTCAGGAGATAGGCATCTGGACAGTGACCACTGGACAGTATCCAAAGAGACCTTCTGGATACCACACCAGGGAGGATGGATGCTGACTGGGGACCAGATCCCCTGCCTCCAGCCCAGCATCCCACGTCCCTGAAGTCTTGGTGCCGTCATACTAATCACCACTAACATATTGGGGGCTCACCGTGTACCAGGCCCCACTCTAAGCACTTTATATGGATTAGCTACCAAGTGTCTTGGGAGTATAGACACAACCCTGCGGGGTGGGGCAGGGAATTGGAGAAACCCTGAAACTTCTAAGATTAAGTTTATCATCCAGAGAAGAAAACAGAACTTGGGCTTGATGTATAAATTAACAACAACGGCCAGCGCTTATATAGTGCTTTCTGCATGCCAGCCACAAGGGGCTTTCCATACGCGGGTTCATTTAATCCTTGCGACAACCCTATGATTCAGTATGTTATTATCTCCGTGTTACAGATGAACAAGAACGAAGAGAGTGGCGAAGTTACTTTCCCAGGGTCTCACGGCTATAAGAGGCACAGTCAAGATTCAAGCCGAGAGTCCATCGCAGAAGGAGCACACACACAGAGCACAGGCCTCGCAACCAACTCGACCCGTGCTTAAAACATGGCTCTGCCTCTTGCGAGTGCTGAGACTCAGGCAAGTCACCAATCTCTCCAGGCCTTCCTCGTCTACAGAATGGGGACAGCAGTGCCTCATCGTGTTAGTTCTTGGAATTAAATGAGCTCAGGGCTGTAAAGTTGTGAGCACTGTGCCCGGAACATTGTGTGCTTACAGATGGCATTGCGTGTGACAAATCGCCCTCTTTAGTAAAGCCCAGGGGGGTCTACTGTGTGTCTACAGGTGCAAGGCAAGTGACTCTGTTGCCCGTATGTATGGAGTCTTCACTGGATCCAAGCAAGGTCAGTCCTGGCTGGCAGGGTGGGAATGAATGCGACATTATCCACAGCAGGTGGTGATAAATTCTGTGAGCTCACAACCAGTTTAATGGCTACAGTGTTTCAAGCGCTCAAAAGGCTCACTCAAGTCTTAGGAGAGATTTGTAGAATCATCATTTCCCTTAGTGCCTTCCTGAGGCCCCAACAGGGAAGTAACACAGGAAGGTGGGTGAAGGAGCCTCTTTCTGGACCCCCTTCCATTAGAGGGTGGGGTGTGAATGAATGTGAAGTGCCACAGTGGCCTCCTCAGAAATGGTGTGGTGACCTGTAACCGCAGGAATTTTCCTTGGCCCACTTCAGGGAGGCTGTTTGAGAAGTGAGAAAAGCTTAACAGTTCGAGACGAAAGGTTCTTTGTAATGTGAGAATGGAAAGACTTGAGAGTGTGAGGAAATGCTGGGGGAAAAAAAAAACCATACTTTTCTTTCCAGCCTGTAGTTTCATACTATCTAGGAGGCTGGTTTCTTGGCCCAGGGACACCCCAAAAAGTTATGCTTGCCTCATCTTTACCTTTGCAGTTTCTCCCCAGAGAGAGAACACTCAAACCTAATACTGAATGTGACTGGCAGTTGAGGACTTCATCTTTAGGATCGCAGACCCTAAATCTCTACTGGCTGTATAACCGAGGACAAATGACTTCACCTCTTTGAGCCTCAGTTTCCTCCTCTGGAACACACACAATACCAGTTCCTCCATCCTAGGGCTGTAATGAGGATTAGATGAGTGAAGGGGTGTGATGTTCTTAGCTTAGAACTACATATAGTACATATTTGGCAGATAGGAAGCATTCTGTAAATGGCAGTTATCACTGTTATTTATAACTGTTACTTTTGCCGTTATTATTATTATTGTTACTGTTAATATCACTAAAAAGTCTCTATTAATCTCCCATAAACAAGCTGATCCTGTATCCTCTGATCAGAGCCAGAATCAAAGTAAAAAAGAAAATATTCTACTCTATTTGGGGCTAACAATGCCTAAGGCTTGGCACTTTCCCATACTGCCCCCTAACTTATTTATAGTTTAAAATATTTTTCATGCATCCATCCACCCATTTATCCAATATTCCTTCAACACCTACTTTGGGCCAGTCACTGTCCAAAGCACAGAGGATACACAGAGGAAAATTCCTGTGGTGACAGGTCACTAAACCATTTCTGAGGAGGCCACTGTGGCACTTCATACTCATTCCTACCCCACTCTCTAAAGGAAGGGGGGAGTGGTTTGTTTTTTGTTTTTTTTTTTTTCGGTGAAAAAAGAACAAAAAAAACCCCACAAAAATCAGTGCCCTCGTGAAGCTTACATTTTAGTGAGGCAAGACAAATAACAATGAACACAGTAAATTAGTAGAAGGTGACACATGCTATGGAAAAGAAAAGAAAAAAATACGGTGAAGGAAGGGGAGCTGGGAATGGGGAGGGGAGACTTGCTTTTTGTCCATCTGTTAGGATGCAGAGCCAACTGCAAAATAGAGAAATGTGAGTTAGTGGAACTACACCAGCTTCCCAACTTGTTCTGCCACTTACGGCCAGCCCCTTCTCCTCCCCGTGCCTGTCTCCTCATTTTTAGGAGGGGCTGCCTAGACGATCTCAAAGCTCTTTTTACACTCAGTGTTTCTCAAAGTATATCCATGGATCACCTGCATCAGAATCACCTGGTAAAAATACAGACTCCTGGGTCCCAGCCCAGGGCTACTTGATCAGACTCCCCATGAGGTGAGGCACAGGATTCTGCATGCCAAAGAAGCCATTCAGGTGTTTCTTGTAAATTCTCAAGTTTGACAAGCGTGATTCTGCATCTTCCTTCTGTTTTTGTTGTTGTTGTTTCTTCTAGGTTTCTGATTTCTGTGCAGTCTTTTTTGCCCTTGACTCTAATCTGGGGGCATCAACAAGCACCCAGCCACCTTCAGACTAATTTACTTGCCCAAAGGCCTTTGCAGCTTAAGTTACACCTGACCTATTAGAACACGGCCAGCCAGTCACCGCTAAAGACTCGGTCACACCATCTGGATATAGATTTTTCTGAAAACAAGTTCAGAGAATGGTTTTATGGCGCCAAGTGTAGCATTTCACCTTCCTCGTCCTTGGTGGCATGAATAAATTTCAAACGGAGACCTTGCAGTAAAGTAACTACGGTTCTTCAGTTTTGCTACAGCTTGCACCCTGGAGGAGCAAATTCTCAAACCAGCCATGTAGGTAGCTTTAGCCGTTTTCACTAGCTAAAGGAAATACTGCCCATTTAGTATGTCATCTACCCTCTGGGATTTAAGCATCCTTTTGTACTGTGACTTCCACATTTATATCTCTAGAGCAGAATTCTCCTCTGAACTCCAGATTCACACGTTCGGATCAGATCTCGTTTCCCGATGATCTCGTGTAAATCTGTAACTTAACACATCTAAAACAATCCTAAGTTCCACTTGTCCCTCATCCCCAAACCTCCAAAACTTTCGCATCTCAGCAATGGTACCACCATTTTCCTGCATGCTCAAAATCATCCCTGATTCTTCTGTTCCCCTCACCACCCCTCTGCCCACGTCCAATCCTTTGGTCTAATCTCTGAAATACGGGTATAATTCAAATCCAACAACCACTTTTTTCCATCTCTATCTCTAACCCCTCAATTCAGGTAACCAGCACCTCACAGCAACAAACAATTAAATATATAGAAACAAACCAGATCACGTCACCCTCATGTTTCCTACTGCACTTAGAATAATGATCCTTCTGCCTGGGTGGCTTGTCCCAAGCTCTTCTGCATCCTTTAGGCATTAGCCCAGATGTCAACTCCTCAGAGAATTCGAGCAAGCCTTCTCTGACCATCGTGTCTAGAAAAGTCACCTCCTCACCATTATTCTCCATCTCAGCCCCTAGGTTATTTCCTTCAAAACAGTCATGGCATCTAGTGACCGTTCTTACTTATTTTCTTTTACTAGTCTCCCTTATTAGGATGAAAGTTCTGCGAAGGCAGTGATTTTGTCTCCCAGTCAAACACTAAAGGAAGCCACCAAAATCAAAGGAGCAGGCTTCTTGGTGAGGTGCTGAGAGGACTCGGTGTGGAATAAGGAGTGAGTTTTGCCCTCAAGGAGCTTATATTCCTCTCGACATTCTTTTAAAATTTAAGGAAGTCTCTGCTCACTTGATTAAAATTTCTATGTTTTACACTGACTGATAAGAAGCAGGTCTCCAATCCTGGCTTAGTCCACTCTAAAGGGCATGCCTAATTTAATTTTGTTTTTTCCAGACGAAAAAGAACTTCTACAGGAAACACACTTTGGAAAAAATGAGATAATCAAAAGAATAGACTCGATCCTTCTGGACAAGAGAAGATGAATGCCAAGCCCAGAGCCACAGGCTCATTAGTGAAGGTGGGTTGTGCTGAAGAGAACGGACCGAGCACAGGGATTTCTGGCTCTCTTCCTGAGAGAGGTCACAGAAGGAAGGAGAAACTAAAATAAGCCTCTTACTCACGGTTATTTAGAATTCTCTGACCGCTTGGATGCTAATCAACACTTCAGTCTCTGGAAAATGGAAAAGCGTAGACTCTGAGTCTAATAGATGGTACTGAGGTTTACGGTTGTACTCACTCACTACTAAGAAATACCCAGACTTCACTCACCACTGCCTTTTATTCAGTCTGATGAGGTCTGTCGGATGTCTGAGCAAG